ACACACACACACACACACACACACAAACACCATGGCTTGGGTCAGGTGCACCTTAGTCCTTAAAGTGACATCTTTGCTTTTTTAACACTTTAAAGAGGTCTTTTGCAGCAGATTTGCCCAATGCAATGCGTCATTTGATTTCTTGAATGCTGCTTCCATGGGCGTTGATTGAGGATCCAAGTAAAATAAATCCTTGACAACTTCAATCTTTTCTCCGTTTATCGTGTTGCTTATTGGTCCAGTTGTGAGGATTTTTGTTTTCTTTATGTTAAGGTATAATCCATACTGAAGGCTGTAGTCTTTGATCTTCATCAATAAGTGCTTCAAGTCCTCTTCACTTTCAGCAAGCAAGGTTGTGTCATCTGCATATCGCAGATCATTAATGAGTCTTCCTCCAATCCCAATGCTGTGTTCTTCTTCATATAGTCCAGCTTCTCAGTTTATTTGCTCAGGATAGAGATTGAATAAGTATGGTCAAAGGATACAACCCTGACACACACCCTTCTTGATTTTAAACCACACAATATCCTCTTGTTCTGCTTGAACCACTGCCTCTTGGTCTATGTGCAGGTTCCTCATGAGCACACTTAAGTGTTCTGGAATTCCCATTCTTCATAATGTTATCCATAATTTGTTACAATCAACACAGTCAAATGTCTTTGCACAGTCAATAAAACACAGGTAAACATCTTTCTGGTATTCTCTGCTTTCAGCCAAGATCCATCTGACATCAGAAGTGATATCACTCATAACATGTCCTCTTCTGAATCCAGCTTGAATTTCTGGCAGGAAAAGGCTTGAATTTCTGGCAGTTCCCTGTCAATGTACTGCTGCAACCGCTTTTGAATGATCTTCAGCAAAATTTCACTTGTGTGCTATTAATGATATTGTTTGATAATTTCTGCATTCTGTTGGATCACCTTTCTTTGGAATGGGCTAAAATATGGATCTCTTCCAGTGGGTTGGCCAGGTAGCTATCTTCCAAATTTCTTGGCATAGATGAGTGAGTGCTTCCAGCACTGCATCCGTTTGTTGAAGCATCTCAACTGGTATTCTGTCAATTCCTGGAGCCTTGTTTTTTACCCATTCCTTCAGTGTAGCTCGGACTTCTTCTTTCAGTACTGTCAGTTCTTGATCATATGCTACCTCCTGAGATGGCTGAACGTCAACCAATTCTTTTTGATACAGTGACTGTGTATTCCTTCTATCTTCTTTTGATGCTCCCTGCATCGTTTAATTTTCCCCATAGAATCCTTCAATATTGCAAGTCAAGGCCTGGATTTTCTCTTCAATTCTTTCAGTTTGAGAAATGCCAAGCATGTTCTTCCCTTTTGGTTTTCTAACTCTAGGTCTTTACACATTTCATTATGATACTTTACTTTGTCTTCTCGAACTGCCCTTGAAACCTTCTTTTCAGCTCTTTTACTTCATTTCTTCCTTTTGCTTTAGGTACTCGATGTTCAAGAGCAAGTTTCAGAGTTTCTGACATCCATTTTGGTCTTTTCTTTCTTCCCTGTCTTCTTAATGACCTCTTGCTTTCTTCATGTATGATTTCCTTGATGTCATTTCACAACTTATCTGGTCTTCAGTCATTAGTGTTTAATAAGTCAACTCTATTCTTGAGATAGTCTCTAAATTCAGGTGGAATATACTCAAGGTCGTATTTTGGCTCTCGTGGACTTGTTTTAATTTTCTTCAGCATCAACTTGAACTTGCATATGAGCAATTGATGGTCTGTTCCACAGTTGGCCCCTGGCCTTGTTCTGATGATACTGAGCTTCTCCATCGTCTCTTTCCACAGATGTAGTCAATGTGATTCCTGTGTATTCCATCTGGTGAGGTCCACGTGTATATTCACCATTTATGTTGTTGAAAAAAGGTATTTACAATGAAGTCATTGGTCTTGCAAAATTCTATCATGCGATCTCTGGCGTTGTTTCTATTACCAAGGCCATATTTTCCAACTATTGATCCTTTTTCTTTGTTTCTGACTTTTTTGCTTTCCAATCCCTAGTAATTATCAATGAATTTTGATTGCATAGTTGATCAATTTTAGACTGCAGAAGTTGGTAGAAATCTTCAATTTCTTCATCTTTTGCCTTAGTGGTTGGTACGTAAATTTGCATAATAGTCATATTAACTGGTATATGTATGGATATTATCCTATCACTGACAGCATTGTACTTCAGGATAGATCTTGAAATGTCCTTTTTGACGATGAATGTGACACCATTCCTGTTCAATCTGTCATTCCCAGCGTAGTAGACCATATGATTGTCTGATTCAAAATGGCCAATACTAGTCCATTTCAGCTCAGTAATGCCTAGGATATCGATATTTATGCATTCCATTTTACTTCTGACAACTTCCAAATTTCCTAGATTCATACTTTGTATATTCCATGTTCCAATTATTAATGGATGTTTGCAGCAGTTTCTTCTCATTTTGAGTCCATCAGTAAATGAGAGTCCTGAAAGCTTGACTCCATCCATGTCATTAAGGTCAACTCTACTTTGAGAAGGCAGCTCTTCCCCAGTCGTATTTTGAGTGCCTTCCAGTGTGAGGGGCTCATTTTCTGGCACTATATCAAACAGTGTTCTGCTGCTATTCATAAGGTTTTCACTGGCCAGTTTTTTCAGAAGTAGACCACTAAGTCCTTTTTCCTAGTCTGTCTTAGTCTGGAAGCTCCGCTGAAACCTGTCCACCACACGTGACCCTGCTGGTATTTGAAATACCAGTAGCAAAACTTCCAGTATCACAGCAACATGCAAGCCACCATAGTAAGACAAACTGACAGACACGTGGTGGTTTGTAATAATACAGATTGGAAAAAACTCAAATGTTCATCAAAAGAGAATTGCTTAAACAGATTATATTGTACTTCCATACGATGGAATACTATTCTGATGTAAAAAGGAAGAAGTTAGCGCTGTAAGAAGTGACTGGAGAAGCTGTCCACAATATATCCCAAGGCCAAAAAAGCAAGTTGCAGAACAGTTTGTAACATCTATTAGTAACACTCAGGTGTTTGTCCTAAAGGAAGAGTTTTTCTTAGATCCTGATAAGTTTTAAAATTTCAAAATTTCTTCAAACATACACTAAATGACAGACATAATTCCTGTGAATGCATACGTGTGTGTATATGTCCTGTAGACTATGGAAACATAATACTTTTAAAGGCATGGAAAATATTTTATAGGCTGTCGTGGATTGAATTGTGTCCCCCCAAAATATGCGTATCAATTTGGCTAGGCCATGATTCCCATTATTGTGTGATTGTCTACTGTTTTGTCATCTGATGTGATTTTCTTATGTGTTGTAAATCCTGTCTTTATGATGCTGATGAGATGGGATTGGCGGCAGTTATGTTAATGAGGCAAGACTCAACTACAGGATTGGATTGTGTCTTGGGCCAATCTCTTTTGAGATAAAAAAGAGAGAAGAGAGCAGAGAGACAGGGGGACTTCATACCACCAAGAAACAAGAGCCAGGAGAATAGTGCGTCTTTGGACCCAGGGTCCCTGAGCCGAGAAGCTCCTCAACCAGGGGAAGACTGATGACAAGGACCTTCCTCCAGAGCTGACAGAGAAAGAAGTCTTCCCTCGGAGCCAGCACCCTGAATTTGGACTTCTAGCCTACTAGACTGTGAGGGAATAAACGTCCGTTTGTTAAAGCCATCCACTTGTGGTATTTGTTATAGCAGCACTAGATAACTAAGACGTAGGCTAACAGACAAGACCTGTTAGCAGCGGTTTCCTCTGAGGAGAAAAAATGGCCATGCGGTTGGCAGAGAAAGCCAAACCTTGGCAAAAAACAGACTGCTTTTAATCTAACCCTGTTCGTTTGAGAAGTTGTTCCATTTCAGTCTAACACCCTTTTTTCAAGCGAATAGAATGAAAACAAAAACACCAGCTCCACCCCTTCCCTATCCTGGTCTTCTCTCACTTTTCCCAGCAAACAAATGTGTATTTAATCCTGAGATTTAACCCCTCCCCTTTCCTGCCCCTGTATAAATTCATAGTTTAGACTACGGGGAGACATGGCACCCACACTTTCTTCATGGTGTGAAGTGGGTGAATTAGTCATCTCCTTTCTGCACCAGAGGTCTTTCAGAACCAGTGGTTCCAATGCAGGCACTTCTGGAAAGAGGGAAGCTTCCATCTGCCCTGGATGAGGGAGCCTTAGCAACCAAAGAGTCAGGCATGCTGGAGAAGAGGTCTTTGAGCTCCTTGGACCAAACAGCAGGCTTGAGATGGCTCTGTCTAGAATATTTTGTCCTCTGAAACAAGCAACAGCCTGTTTTGAGGCACAGGCCCAAGGGCAGTGCTGTCACTGCAGCTCCAGAGTCTGCATGGTTCATTTTGTTACTCATCATGTACTCCTGGACTCGTAGAGCCCCCAGAGATCCTCCCATCTAGGGCTCCTTAACCTTTTTTGGGTGACTAACCCTTGAGAATCTGACGAAACACACAATTGCAGATCCCTGGAGCCCATCATGGACCTCTGGGGAAAGGTATCATTCTGAAGAGGTACCTCTGGAGAGAGTTTGGTACAATCTTGCCCTCTCATTTATGTATTGAAAAAACATACTTCATTATAAGTTAGCTTTATTTTTTTCTTTTATATTACAGATAGGACATTATACTGATTTTTTTTAAATATGTAGGTTGGTCATATTACTATGAATTTCATTTCAGGATAGTAAAAGTGACACCAGAAATCATTTGTTATGAAAAGGGGAGTGTTTGGTCTTTAGGATTTGGCACCACTGCTGAGGGGGAGGGTCCATGGACCCAGATTAAGGTCTCCTGCTCTGGTCCACTCCCCTAATTTTAAGGAGAAAGCAAAATCTCATTATTTAGAGACACTAGAGAGTTAGTGACAGAACTGGGCTCAGAAATCAGGTCTCTTCACACCCAGCAATGCCTGGCAGTGCTATTTAACCCTCATATGGTGATTCAAGTCTTCTGGACCACACTGTACACTCCTGGTGGACAGAGTCCAGATCTTTTTTTCTGAGTCTCTTTCTATGCTTAGTAGAGTATTCTATACTCAGTAGGCCCTCAGTAAATATTAGTTGAGTGAAAAAAAGTGAAATCCATTCAGACTTTGTTTCTCCTCCTCAGTAAGTTAGTATTCTTAGACAAGGACCAGAGAAGCCTGGGAGAGTTAACGTGCTTTTGCAATTGGAGTTTAATTTCTCCACTGGATGATTATGTTCCACTCTGCAGGGGTCACCTAGTTCTCCAAGGGCATTGCCCTCCTCCAGGTGAGCTTGCAACCTAACACTGGGTTTCCCTGGGCTCAGGTTAGCTGAGCCAAACTCCAGACAATAGCTGAGCCCGCCTCATTGTCTTAACACCTGGGAAGGGTAAATGGATGCTATGGCCTGACTCTGCTCCTCCTGGGAATGGGAAACAAGCAGAGCAAGGCCCTGCAGGCAGATGAAGGTTCCTGTTGGGAATGCAGCCAAGAGGAGCTGAAATAAATTTGGGATTTGCAAACCTAAACCTGATTAAGTTAGAGCTATGGTCTTTTCTCGGGCTGTGTCCTTCAGAGACAATAGAGGCGATAAAGGGGTAATGAGCAGTGCCAGAAAATGGGTAGTATGGCTGTTTGATCTTGGAAAAATCACTTTCCTGGCCTGGGACTCCACCTTCTCCACAATCAAATCAAGGGATGGACCTGATAATCTCCAGGACAGTCTCTGACCAAGTCCGGGACCAGGACTGTAGGTTCTCTGGTGTCTTCTGTCTTTTGGTGTCTATACAAGCTTCTCTGTACAAAATGAAATTCAAGCTTGTATGTTCAAAGCGCTTTATCCTCTGTGGATGACAGTATCAGGGCTGGTGCAAAGCCTTTATTCTTACTGAAGCACACAGTATACGCCTTCTTCCCCAGGCCCTGGCTGCTCACTAAGAATACACCCCCTCCCTAGGGAGCCATATTGTATCACAGAGCAGCTGTGAAGAGGGGGCAGTAGAGACTGAATGCTGCCTGGGATGTGGGCGAGGAGGCAGAATCTGAGGTTGGGTGATGTGTGGACACAGCCGAGACATCTGTTGAGCTAGTTCAGATCTCTTGGTGGTGCTGCCATGGAAATGGGGCACAGAGCTTCTCCATCCCTCAGCACTATCTCAGGGACAGCCCCTCTCCCCCAGGCCTTGCCCTGCTAATAATAATGGTGGCTACAGTGTGTTGGGTGCTTACTATATGCCAGGCATTACGCTAAGTGCTACACAGACCTTATCACATTTAATCATCATCGTATTCCTGTGAGGCTGAGAATTTGATCTTCATTTTAGCAATCAGGAAACTGAAGCTCAGGGAGGTTCAGCCACTTGCCTAAAGCAAGTCCGATAAGCCCTTGCTCTGATTGTTTTCCACACCTGGCCCCTTGTCTCTGACAGAAAGAACAAACTGGAGATTTGATGGGCAGGAGTGGGAGGGTGTTTATCTGGTTTTCCTGCTTGTAAACGTGGCCATTGTCAACCAGCTGGGTCACCTGAACAAGTAATTTCCAAGCAGGGCTTTGAACTAGTTCATTCTGGTTCGAACCCCTGCTGAGAATTTTCATTTCCACCCTAGATATACTGGAATCAGAATCTACATTTTAACAAGATCCTCAGGTGATTCTTATGTATAACTTCCTGGGAACAACCGTTGGAAGCCCTGTTTCCAAGCCTAGGTTTCCTCATCTGTGCAAGGAGAAGGGTGAACTGATGGAGAACCACTTCTAGCTCTAACAGTCTGGGATCATAAATCCATGGAGGAAGAGGGACCTCACAGGCAGAAAGAGAGCAAGGGATTCAAGGCACTGCCAAGACAGATACTTACAGATGCCAGGATCGCTGCAGGTGAGAGTCCCATCCTCTGGCACCATGTGGGCATTGTACCTCTGGTTGGACAACACTTCTGTCATCTCCCCTGCCCGCTGCCGCTCCCCCATCTTGGTCTTCAGGAAAATCCCAAAGCCGATGTCTGCCCCATCCGATGCAAACTGCCACCTGCAGGGTATGCCCACCCATTAAGATATAATCCTTCTGTGTGTGTCCTCTCTGGAGTCCCGACACCAGGACTTCTCCCACCCCAGCACACCCCTGGTGCCTACAGATGTGAGGTTCAGGTAACCTGGAAGGCACAGGCCCCTACCTGAGGACACAGCCAGGGAAGAGGATCTCATACTCCACTTGGTGAGAGGAGCCACGGGCAATCTGCACACTGTGTTCGTACTGCTGTTTCACCTGGTCTCGCACATAGTACTTCTTGGGGATGTCACCCCCGTAGTTGATCTAGAAGCAGAGCATGAAGTAAGCTGGAATGTGGATTTGAGCCAAGCTCCCCTGTTCATCTCCAGCCCCCAGTGGCCCATACCTTGGATTTGCACTTGGGGTTTCCATCAGGGTCAGTCATGGTACCCCCATATTCCACAGGCAGCTGGTCAGGGCTAATATGTTTCAGTAAAACCTCCTTCCAGTTTGCTGGCAGGAGAGGGAAGGAAGAAGACAGACCTGTCACCACTAGGCAAGAGTTCATGGCCCTGGCAGTCTGCACAAAGGAGACAGAAAAAAACTACGCACCCTCCCACGTACAACACAGGCATTAGGAGCAGTAGGGACATGATGCGTGCGCCGTACTGTAGAAGGAGCCATCACCAGAGGGTTGCCTGGCCCTGGACCAGGAATCAGGAGACCTGCGTTCCTGTCCTCATTGCCTCTGACCAGCTGTGTAATCTTAGGAAAATCACTTCATTCTGAACCTAGCTAAGAAGAGAACTTGTTCCTCCTGCCCTGCAGAGTTACGGGAATAAAGTGAACCACGTTCTTGAGACAGCTTTGTAAACTTTAAAGTGCTCCACACGTATGAGAGTATTATCATGCCCAGGAAGGTGATACAAACATTTGAAGTGCCAGCAGGAAGGGACAGAGAAAGGGGGGGAGGGCATTCCATGCAGAGGGAACAGCATGTGTGGAGGGCAGGAAGGCCTCAATCAACTTGCACTGTTCTGGTTAGACTGAACTCCATGAGGGTGGCTCCTGTGTCTCTTGTTCCTCACTTCAGCCCACATGTGGTCGTCTCAGTCGTTACTGACTGACCAAATGACCAAATGAATCACTGTAGAGTGACCCCTTGCGTGGCTGCCCTTGGCTTTCCCCCAGCCAGTGTCACTTCTGCTCCTGTTGTTCTGGGCTGTTTAGCTGCCAGTGATTTGGCTTATTATCTTTCTAAGCAAGCCCTTTCCTGGCTAGAAGAGTATGACTCCAGTACAGCCAGTGCTGAGAACCACTTCTCTGCCAATCCAAATTCCTAAACAACTTCCAACCAAGTGAAGTATTTTGATACTAAAACCCTTTCCATGCTGACTATATAGACTATATGTGGGCACCAGCTCCAAGCCATGGGGTACAACCCAGTGTCCTCTGCCCTCATGCTGGCTGGAAACCTACAGTGTCTGTCCAGGGTCTTCCAGCCCTCGGGTGGACATGAGACCATGCAACTCCTGGGAACACAGTCTCTTGTGATCTTCAGGTGATTTAATCTGTGCTGCTAAGCTCCAGTGACCATCTCAAAGGGAATTTCTTTCCTGCTCCGTTGAAGATTCTGTACCTTCTCAGCCCAAGGCAGGTTGGGATGAAAGAGTTTCAGGTGTGGGTGGGAGAACAGACTGAACCTCCTATACGGCTCTGCTGCCAGGAAACCAAACTGTCTCACGCACATGGTGGGTGGTAGCAGCAGAAAAACCAAAAATCATAAGCCTTTTGCTCAAATTTTGTATTTCTTCCCCCAGCTCAGCTGGAGAGTTGGGATAAGGCCAAGAAGATTATTCCCATCTTACAGAGAGATTAACTGAGGCAACATGAAGCAGAACTCGCTGTCAGAGTTAGGACTAGAACCCAGAAAAGTCCTAAGTTTTCCAAACTGCTTCACTCTCCACGCCAGTGTCTCACTAGCCCACATTTGGAGAAATCTCCACTTTTAATGTGTCATCAAGGACCAGAGCTAAAGCTGTTTACACTCGACCAGAAGCTGTCAGACTCCGTAATTACCTACTTCCAAGTTCAACTCTTTAGGTGGCATAAAGCCTTCCATGAGCCAGTCCCAGTCTACCCTTCTAGCTCTTTCTCCCAGTACTTCACTTCATGCTGCAGCCAAACTGAACTCCTCTCTGTCTGAGGCAAATTTGACTCCTCTTTGTCCTCCTTGCTGGGTTTTGGGTCATACTTTCCCCTATACCCTGATGTTCTCTCTGCTTTCCTGCATATCCAATCCCTGTTGACCTGCTTCTCTGCCAACCTCATTAATCACTTCTTTTCAGTCTCCCTGGTGGGTTTCTCTTTCTCTGCCTGCTCTTGAGCTTAGATATGTCCTCAAGGTTCCATTGTCAGCCTCTGTTCTTTGGTGGGCAGTCTTATCTACTTTAAAGGTTTGGGCTACTGCCTAGATCTGATGATGCCCAAATCTCCAGACTGGAGTTCTCTCCGAAGCTTCAGGCTCAAGTATTCCCAATATCTGTGTATCTCCCCAAACCCATCCAAACCCATTGCCATCAAGTCAATTCTGACCCATAGCGACTCTGTAAGAACAGAGTAGACTGCCCCATAAGGTTTCTAAAGCTGTAAATCTTTACGGAAGCAAACTGCCATGCCTTTCTCCCGTGGAGCGGCTGGTGGGTTCAAACGGCTGACCTTTCATTTAGCAGCCAAGTGCTGTAACCACTGTGCCACCAGACTCCTGTATATCTCACAGACTCCTCAAATTCAGCTTTAAACCTTTTCTTCCAGTTGCACAGAATGTATGTTATGTATCAGGATCAATTCAGTCACACCAGACACCAAGGAGTCATTTTAGATTCATCCTTCTCCCTTACTTCCCACATCCAGTCAATCAAGTTCTGCTGTTTTTCTTCCTGAAGTCTAAGCCCATCCTCTCCTCTCTATCTCCACTGCCACTGCCCTGGTTCAGGCGTGTAATGCCCGTTGTATGGACAATGGCCACAGTGTGCAAACTTGCACCTGTGGCTCTGTTCTTTACAATCTTCCTAGTATGATGTGTCTCAATTTAAAATCTGATCATGGCACTCCCATGCTCAGAGCTCTTCTCTGGCTCCCAGTGGCTTGCACAGTCATGTCTCAGCTTCCCCGCATGGTGCCCTGGATTCTCTGTGACCTGGATCCTGGTCCTTCTCCAGCTCATCTCTTGACACACCCTGCCTCACACTCCATAAAAACTGCCTATGCCGTGCTGTTGAAGGTCTCTGCTCAATGCTGTTCTTTCTGCCTTGCTTCATCTGGTGGACGCTTACTCATTTTGCAGCACTCAGCTCAGGCACCCCACCTATGTGAGGTGAGGTGAGTGCCCACTCACTGCTCCCATGTACTCCGTGGTCCCCTCGCTCATATTTACCATGTTATACTGTCACATCTGTTTGTGTCTCCCTTCCTTGAGAGGCTGAGAGTTCTTCAAGAGACTCTGTCTTACTCATCTTTGAAGCCTCAGCACTTAGACCATGGCCTGGTACATAATAGGTGCTTGTTAAATGAAGCCACTGCTAGTTGCCCCCAACTGAAAGCAAGCTCTGCTCCTAGGACTTCCGTGGTGCCTTCTCTTGCCTTTCCTAGTGTCCTTTCTAGTTTGTATCATAGCTTTCTCTCTACAGGTCTTCTCTCTCTTGTTATTCTGTAAGCTCCTTGAGGGTAAGGACTGGGGTTTCATTCATCTTTGAATCTACAGTGATGAGCCCAATGCTTTCTCCTAGAGTGTCTGAGAGAGTTCTTGTGAAAACAAATAGGAAGGCTCTGTCCCAGCTTGCTCCTGGGTCCCAAACCAGCAGAGGGAGCCTCTGCCCCTAGTGCTGGGGCCACATTTCTAAAATCAGCCCTAGTATGCCGAGTGAAATAAGTCACAAAAGGACAAACATTGTATGAGACCACTATTATTACGAACTCAAGAAAAGGTTTGTACACAGAAAAAAAGCATTCTTTGATGATTACAAGGGTGGGGAGGGAGAAGGAAGGGAAATCACTAACTAGATAGTAGACAAGTGTCAACTTCAGTGAAGGGAAGGACAACACGCAATATAGGGGAAGTCAACACAACTGGACCAACGCAAAAGCATAGACATTTCCTAGATGCATTCAAACACTTTGAGGGACCAAATGGCTGGGGCTGGGGCCTGAGGACCATAATCTTGGGGGACATCTAGGTCAATTGCATAACATAGTTCATAAAAGAAAATGTTCTACATCCCACTTTGGTGAGTAGTGTCTGGGGTCTTAGAAGCTTGTGAGCAGCCATCTAAGATACATCTATTGGTACCATCCCACTCAGAGCAAAGGAGAAGAAAACCAAAGATACAAGGAAAATATTAGCCCAAAGGACTAAAGGACCACATGAACCAAAGACTCCACCAGCCTGAGACCAGAAGAACTAGATGGTGCCCAGCTACCACCAACTACCGCTCTGACAAGGAGCACAACAGAGAGTCGTGGAAAGAGCAGGAAAAAAATATAGAACAGAATTCAAATTCACAAAAAAAGACCAGACTTACTGGTCTGACACAGACTGGAGGAACCTCCAAAACTATGGCCCCCTGACACTCTGCTAACCCAGAACTGAAAATGTTCCCGAAACGCACTTTTCAAAGATTAGACAGACCAATAAAACAAAAACATAACACAGGTGAGGAATGTGCTTCTTAATTCAATCAAATATATGAGACCAAATGGGCAACTCTTGTTCCAAAGCAGGAAGGAGAAGGCAGGAAGGGACAGGAACTGGACAAATGGACACAGGTAACCTGGAGTGGAAAGGGGGAACATGCTGTCGCATTGTGGGGATTGCAACCAATGTCACAAAACAATATGTGTATAAATTTTTGAATAAGAGAATAAAAAAAAAAAGATGGGACGATAAGGGGGCAGGGGAACTAGAGTACTGGAAAGGGAACAAACAGAACACAATTAAAGAGAACGCTGACACATTATGATAAATGTTAACTAATGTAACTGAATAATTTGTGTGAAAATTGTCAAATGGGAACCTAACTGGCTGTGTAAACTTTCACCAAAAACTCAATAAAATATTATTTAAAAAATAATAATAATATAAAAAGAAAACCAGCCCCAGTTTGGGCCACAGATCATTGTGTGGAGTTGAGAAGAGTCTGGGCCACTCACCTCCCAGGACCATGATCTTCTTACGAGTGTCCTCACTCAGGAAGGGTTTGATGAGGTTATAGGCCACAGGAAACAGCTTGGGGGCTGGAATAGAGAACAGGAGATGAGGTCAGGAACAGTGCCTGGTCTGTCCCTAACAGTGTCTTCCAGAGCCCTCCTCCCTACAGCCCCCAGTGTCGGTCCACATGCCCCTAGTACTGTGGAGCCTGGATAGGCTGCCCAGGGTCTGTGGCCTGGCATGCCTCTTACCAGCTGGGAACCTCTGAGTTCCAGCTTCCTCATCTATACAGTGGGTAGTCAAATGGTCTCTTTCTATCTCACCTGGCTTTGTGGCTTATAGGAGGCTGCTGTTGTTAGTTGCCAGCGAGTCAATTCCGACTCAAGGCAACCCCCTGTGCGCAGAGTAGAACTGCTCCATAGGGTTTTCAAGGCTGTGACCTGTTGGAAGCAAATCATCAGGTCTGTGTTCCAAGGCGCCTCTCTGAGTGGGTTTGAACTGCCAACCTTTTGGCTAGTAGTCAAATGCTTAACTGTTTGCACCACCCAGGGACTCCTTCAAAGGCAGTAGTAAACATAAAAAGATTTGTGAAATGTAAAGTGGTCTGAATATGTAAAGGATCAGCCTTCTCAGCACGTCCTTAGGCCTGCTTCTTTGGCTCACTCCGTTTTACTCTTCTTAAGCTGCCCCAGTAACATTTTGGCCCTCTTTCCCATTTGGCTTCCTCACAGGAAATTCCCAACTTACCTTTAACAACAAAAAGATGCTTCAGTGTTTCAGGATAATTTTCCTCAAACATGGAGAGAAACTGTGGAAACAAAATCACTGATTCCTGCAGGCTCAGACCTCTGCCAAGGAGAGAGGCCCTGAGTCCTCCAGGCTAGAATCTGTCCCTGTCACCTCACACATCCCTCAGGGCATCCTAGCAGAGAGGCCCAGCTCCCCCCCGCCCCCCACCTTGGTGGACGCACCCTCATCCCCTCACCTCTCCATAGGCCTCCACAGCAGGCTTCCAGAGATGCTTGAGGCCAAGCCCCTCGCAGTCATAAATCATGGTGATGGTCTCTATCTTCTTCCCCACCTGCAGAGAATGGAGGAGGAGTCTCACCCGGCTGCTCCACAGCAGAAACCCACCCCAGGTCAGGGCAAATACTGATTGCTCCACATGCTGAAGAAGCAACCAGATCTGGGCAGGGCTGTTCCTAGGGTTTTCCAGACTGAGGTGATCAACCCAAGCCAGAATTGTGGCCTAAGCAAGTCACTCTTCCTGCCTAGGTCTCCGTGTTCTCATCCATATCTGGGTGAATCTAGATTACATCCGAGGTTCCTTCTGTGCAGCAGCCTGACCTGCGGTGGCCTTCCTCTGAATCGCTGAGCACTCTCTAGGAAGCATGTGGAGCACTCAGTCCGTGGGTCCTTATGTGGCCACTTATCTCTTAGACACAGGTCCTCTCTGTCCAACCTAAGCCCAGGAGAGTTGGTCTGTGACAAAGATTTTACTAGCCCTCAGAGAAATAAAGATAATGTAATGAGTTTATTTAAAAGCAAAATTTATTCAGTTTAAAGGATTGTCCTTTATTCTGACAGTATGCCATTCCTATAGTTTTTGGTGTTGATTATGGCAATAATAGATACTGTGTTTAAGTCCTTACTTGGCAAAATGAAAACTTGGCAACATTATGTCAGTCCCTAAAATTTGAAATTTCAGTGGTCTGAAAGTCTGGGCCTAAGCCCTGAAGACATGCTTAAATTGCTGTGTGACATCCCTGCTTCTGCTTGAATGCCTCACCGATAGTTAACTCATTTTCAACCGTGGTCATCCACTCACCTTTGTTGTTTGTCGGCCACACTCCTGCAGAAGCAGCTCACAGTCCCGCATCTTGGTCCTGAGCAGGTCCTGTTTGGTGGCTGAGAACAGCAGCCCCTTGGCATCCAGAGGTCCAATAATATCGTACCAGACTGGGCAGCCATCTAGGTCATAGCCACACATGCCCCCTGACAGATACTGCTGGATCACCTGGGCAAAGACAGAGGCGGTGCTTGGTCTGCTGGCCCAGGGCATCCATACCATCCCTGTACCACAGGGCCTGACTATGGGCTCTTCAGCTTCTTCCCCCACACCCCGCCTCTGGGTGACAATAAATACCCACACTGGGAACCATCAGGCAATGTCACACCTTTCCCCTGAGAGTCTCAGTTTAATAGACCCAGAACTCAGATTGGGGTCTAACAGGCCTAGAGTGGGTATGGGGCAGGATAATGTGTCCTCACCTCTGGAGGCTGCCAGCTGATGATGTTGTCAATGTGCTTTTGCTTTCGGAACTCCGCGTGCTGCAAACACACAGTCAAGGATTAAAAATGTAGGAGGAGGGGGGGACCCCTTAATAGGCATCTAGCAATAGGTGACAACATGAACAGACTACAGGTGGGTCATTAGAGGGCAATAGGCAAGAATGGAAAAGAAGTAATTTTAGAGGTCTTGGCAGAACAGATGATAGAATTCTTGGTTCTTGGCTGGCTCAGAACTCTGAAAGCTCTCTGTTTCCAAGAGAGGGAGAGCGCTGGGTCCCAAAGGGATAAGGCCAGGGATGGATTACCCAATAAGCAAGGTATGCCTGAGTTTACTTGTGCTTACATACTAATCTGTAGTACACAATTTCACCTGTTTTTCACCACATCATGTGATATTGTGCACTACCGCATTAGTAAATAAACACAATGAAGCCTGTGCATACGTTGCTTACTGGTTAATCTGGCCCTGGATAAGGCAATACTGGCTGGCTAATCCTCAGGTATGTCACACAAGCCAAAGGCTGCAATTAGGATGAGTGGGGTGAGCAAAAGAGGTCCAAGCAAGGTGTGATTCTGGTGGGGAGGAACTGAGGTAACGGTAGGATGCAGAGCCAAATGGATCTCACCTTCCGGAGCATGGCCTCTGACTTTTGCAGGTCAAAGCTTCTTGCTGTAACAGGGAAACATGGTTGGAGTCAGGCCAGCAGACTATCTGGGTGTCCAAGGATGGAGAGCTTTCCCTAGTCCCCTGCTGGGGCCAGCTCCTCTCAGTCATCTCCCCAGCTGACTCTCAGGTCATCCCACAGGCAGAAGCTAATGCAAGGACCTTCAATGAGGGCTTCTAGAAAACCTCAGCTCCTGGGTTTATGGGGACAGCAGGTCATGGTTCAGGGCAGTTGGGGGCAGCATTGTGACTTCATGGTCAAAAGAGTTTTACCCAAGTGGATGCAGTCAGGTGAATGGTCTTATCTCCCCTCAGGGAGAGTGAACCCTGGACCCCTTATCGACTGGCCTTCCCCCTTACATGGACAAAGCTTACTCTATCCAGTCCTGAGAATCTGACCCACAGTTCAAAGATAAACATAGCTGCCCTGTAATCTGAGGTGGAGCTGGAAGAACATCCCAGTGGGATACAGGGGTTGCTGAACCTCCTGTCACCCTTGTCATTTCCTCAAAGGACCCATGTATACACTGAAGGCACACAAAGACCCCCCCTCCCAGGGTCCCTAGAGGGTTTTGGAATTAAAGTTCACCTGGGCCACCATTTTATTTTATGCATAAACCCCAATAAATTGTCCCGTCCAAACTTGAGCACAAAGACCTCACTGCCCACCCCCCACCCGCCGGCTTCCTGCTCCCAGATAATCAGTCAGTTCTCGTTGTACTGAGCTAAGATCCACTCCAGAGACACTCCAAGAGTGTCACATGACAACTCTTCCAATACTGGCAAATTCTCTTTTGCCAGCCGAAGTCTCCCCTCCAATCATGCTGCCCATCTCAGATCCTTTACCCAGTCCTCACAGCTTGCTTTCAAGTCCATCCAGATCACTTCCTTTTCGAGGTTTTCTGGTTTGCCAGTGCCCTTCTTAGTGTTCTGTCTAAAACGAGCACAGCGGCAGGTGTTGTCTGCCCTTCTCCAGGAAAGCCAAAGAGCTTTCTTGATAGCATGTCACACCCTTAACTCAGGTGGAGCTTACAGTTAACTGAAACCCCCAAATCCTTTTCATCTGTGCTGCTGCTGGGCCTCCAGCCCACATATGGAGAGGTGATTTTCTGGACCTTAAATCCGTCCCTCTCAAATTTCATCTTGTTAGTTAGTTTCATGTCATCTTTTAAAGACCTTTTGAGATCCAGATTCTGACCAATTTTGCCACCTGACCTATGAACTGCCCCTCCCAGCTGCATGTCCTCTCTGATTGGCACCTAGATCTGCTGACCGCCCTGGAACGTGGGCCAGACAGGTTGCCCTCTGGACTATCGCTGGTCCCTTAATCAGTACTCTCCAGAAGCAGCCAAGTACATTCCCTGACTATGCTGTCGTGTGAAGTCCTATCTTCTCTCTGTGGCCCAAGGGTGCATCACAAGAGATCTGATCCAATGCTATATGTGATTGATGCTGGAGACAGGTATGCAGGACTAAACACCCTTCACTCTTGGGAAGTTCTTCTGACTGCCCCTCTTCACATGCTATCATGGCAGCATGGGGCAGGTTTGAGAGTCATATAGCCTGGGTTTGCAACCCAGCTCTTCCACCCTCTCTCTGTTTGACCTTGGGCAAGACACTGACCATCTCTTTCAAATCATCTAATATGCTAGCAACACTGGAAAATACAAGGCAACATCTTCTCATGAGGAGGGAGCCCAGCTGGACTATGATCTTCCATAGGAACTAGGACACCCTACTGCGAGGAGAGTCCTTATCTTCTTAGGGAACAGAAGCAGTGGTGAACTGAGCCCCCCTTATTTGCCAGGGTCTCCCCAAGTTGCCACTTGCTTCTGGAGTACCCTGCTGGGTGCCTCCCCAGGCTGCTGTTTCAGGCCTCTGCAGGGCTCCTGTGGCTTGGTGCTTGTAAGAGAACTCAGCCTTGGGGCAGCTGTCCTGGGGTCTTGCTTGACCACTCTGTAGTGCTGTGAAACGGGGAGACTCAGACCTGCCTTACTCCCTCACAGGGTTTCCAGGAAATGATGATGGAAGTACAAAGGGTTTGAGAACAAAGGACCAGTCTGGTGGTGAGTTCCCACCACCCCCTTATTTTATCTTGCCATCTGACTCCTCCTTCCTCGGGTGCCCAGAGCTCAGCCCCAGTCAGGGGAAGCAGTGGGGACTTATGTAGCTGCTCTCAATGCCTGGCAGCCACCAGAAAACAGCCCCACTGGAGGGAAGGGGGAATAGTGGAACCTGGAGCTCACACCTAGGTTAGAGGAAAGCATTCTGCTACTGTGCAGACTGCAAGTATTTCCTTTAGAATCAAAGGGGGAAACAGAAAATATTTCTTAAAAAAAAAAAAAAAAAACAACGAAAACACTAATTGAAATTCACAGTAGGGTCTGAGCAGCCACAGAGGAGGCCTGAGCGCCTGCCTAGGAAATACCAGGCACAAATGAAGCACACGGGAGCCACTTCTGTGTTGAGACAGAGTTTGCCTTCAGGGGGCAGCTGTGGCTTACTGGAAAGGGTGCCAGCCTGGAAATCTGGAGCCCTAGGCTTTTGCCCTCATTCTGCTCCCTATGAGCTGTGTGACTTCAGGTAAGTCCCCTCCCCTCTCTGAGCCTCAGTTTTCTCATCTGACCAGTGAGAATGAAAGCACTGTCAGTGTTCCTATGAGAGGGTAAGCTGTGCCTTCTTAAAGGGCCAGCTGCAAGATGAATCAGGGCTTTGAACCTGTTCACTCTGGTTCAAACCCCTGCTGAGAATTTGCATGTCTAATAAGTTCCCAGACAATGCTAATGCTACTGGTTAGGGACCAATTCTGAGAACCACTAGTAGAGCTATCATACATAAGAATCATCTGAGGATCTTGTTAAAATGTAGATTCTGATTCAGTGTATCTGGGGTGGAAATGCAAATTCTCAGCGGGGGTTCAAACAAGAAAGAACCAGTTCGAAGTCCTCTTTCATCTTGCAGCTGGCCCTTTAAGGAGGCCACAGTGTTCCCACTCTCTCCACCCACCCATTCAAGCTACAGCCCTTTAGCAAATGCTGGGCCAGAATTTCCTCTAGTCCTCTGCTGCCACCCCCATGCTGCGCCTCCACCCTCTCTGGGCAGGCTGGGTGGGTGGGTGGGTTGGTTTGCAGCCTTTTTGGGAAAAGGAACAAATGACATTTCCCAAAGCACGCTAGGCCCCACATGGCTCTCCTGGCTGCACTTGTGCTCTGGTGTTTGATAGCAGTTCCTCAAGAGTGTCAGCCAATTAAATTTCTGGGGAGAAGAGGAAAATATATCTCCTTACCTGTCCCAAGACTCCTAGGGAATGTATGTGTATGTTTGTATAAGTAAATAACCGGGCATGATTAGTACTTAATATTTTGGAGTATGATTCTACATCATACCTTAATTTCTGGAATTTTCTTTATTGCTTCTACATCTGGTAATAAACTATCTATAAACATATGTCAGAAGAACCAGAGAGAGTAGCACATGACGTTAATTACAGGAGAGGAGAGGGAAAAGAATGGAAAGATTTCAGGAGTTGGGGGCATGCCGGTAATAACCCTAATGCTAATAGAAATGAGTATGCTTCATTTTACACACAGAGCTCTGTCATGTCACATCTTGCAACAAGCATGGCACCCCATCTGGTCCTGTCCTCCCAGAGGAGAAGCCTAGGCCAGAGGTTTGCCCCTGGCCCGGGATGCCACAGCGAGGCCAGGGCAGAGCTGGAAGTAGAACTTGGGACTTCTGGAGCCTGGTCATGGCTTGAGGAGAGTCTTGTCAATACAGGTCAGGCTGAGCTCCCTTGCTCCCAGTGCACACTGCCCTCCTTCAAGCTGTCCAACGGGGCACAAAGTGTTCTAAACTCAGCTCTGCCTCCAACTTTCCACATGGGCCTTTCTTGCTTCACTTTTCCCCCACCCCTTTCCCCAAGTTGATCAGAAGAACAGATTTATCAAGAGGCATGGGAAGAACACCAAACTGGTAGTCCACAGACCTGGGTTCTAGTCTTTTCTCTCCCTGCAGCTCACTCACTGTGTGATGTAGGATGAGTCACTTCACCTCTCTGAGCCTCAGAGGGTTGAAGTAATTTAACTGACACAGCCTTTTTGGCTCTACAGGTTGAAAGCTCCAGATTCTCAGGTTGCCAAGGGCGGGGTTTCCAGAGGGTGCCATTCTGATACCCAGAACAAGCCCCCGTCCCCACCTCCCGCTGCCCATCTTCCCTCACCTCGGAGCCAGCGCAGGAGGAAATAGTCATCTGGATTCGGCAGGGCGGGCAGCACATCCTGGACATTCTCCCGAAACTGTGGGGAGAGGCAGCTGGGTGAGTGGCAGGGCCTACCCTGACCACCCTATGCCCGGGACTCTTTGTAGGGGCCTTTGCTGACCTCTCTTCTATATGGTTCAACTCAGCAGACATTGGCTTCTCACTTGTGCTGTGTGGGACACTCGGCCAGTGACGGGTGGCAGGGAAGGAGGTGGGAAGAGAGTTAGATGCTGCCCCAGCCTCACTGCACGCACTTCCACACCCTGGGCCGGTGGGGAGGCAGGTGTGTGCCCAGCTAACTGTGACAGTAGGCACTCTGGTACATGCCACAGTAAAAGTTATCATTTGACCAAGCATTCACTGTGTGCCCAGTACTGATCCTGGCACAGTATCTTATTCATTCCCTACTCAGGGTCCCTAGAGGTATTACTGTCCCCATTCTACAGATGAAGGAATTAAAGCTCAGAGAGGTTGAGTAACATGCCCAAGGTCAAACAGCTAGTAATTGGCAGAGCTAGGATACAAAGGTGGATCTGTCTGAGTTGAGAGCACACTCTTTCCATCATCATCTCCTGCCCTGTTTGTAATGGACTGACTGGGGAGCAGAGGGAAGGGAGACTGATTCTGACTGGGGCCAGGAAGAGGGTGGTCTCGTGGGTTGCAGCAGGGGGAGGGAAGAGGACAATCCAGGTGGAGGGAACAGCATGAATGGAGCCATGAAGGTGGAGGAGTTCAGGAAGTGCCAAAACAAGGGACTGGACAGTGACCCCAGGGATGACACACTCCACTCACTAAGGCAAGGAGGCTCCATGTGCCCTCTCCCAGCTCCCAGCTCCTAGCCACTTACTTTCCCTGCTCACTGACCCCATAGAGCAGTCCAGAGGGACCAATGAGGACTGGCCACCGCTGCCCCATGCCTAGGTCAGCCGGGGATTCAGGCCACCCCAAGAGCTCCCAGCCCCCCAGGAAAATTGCTCATCCAGGGCCCAGGCATGAGGCCAACCCTCACCAGGGACCCTACCCAGCCCTGGTTTATAGTTTAATCACCATCTAATCCCTTCTCTGCCTGACTCCCCTGCGGGTCAGCAGCAAAATCTGGAGCCTCCCTCTCCAGCCTCCCTGTGGGGGAGGCCCAGGCTGGTGCAAAACCTCCATGTCCTCACGGGGTGGGTGCCTGGGTCCTGCTGCCATGGCAGAAGACAGCTTCCTCCCTCCCCACACTCCTTCCCAGAATGGAAAACTGCCCGGCTTTGAAGCCTCCAGCTGTGACCTCAAGAAGCGCCAGCCTCCCCTCTCCTCAAGTGTGACCGAGAAAGGGAGATTCAGTACAGGGAGGGGGTCCAGCCCTCAAATTGTTGTCCCCCTCTTCTGCTGTGCGCCCACGTGACAAGGCAAAGCCCGGCTAACCTCTGCCTTTTGAGGAGCATCATCCCCAAGTCCCGGGCCAGGGCGGGGTCTGCGTTGCAGAATAGGGGAGGGCTGCCTCTCAGCTCACACCAACCCGAAGCCAGTGTCACGGGGATCCTAGACTTCAGACACGGAAGCGCTCCCTTCAACATCGTCTAGTCCCACCTCCTCACTCCATCAGAAGCAAACAGACCCACAGAAGGGAAGGGTTTTGCCCAAGGTCGAACGACGATTTGCTGCTGCAGCAGGGGCTAGGAATGTAAGGAGCTATCTGCCCCCCTTCCATCGCGCCACTGCCCCTATGGGAGGAAAACCTCACGGAAATGAGGGGAAACCAGGGGCCTTGCCCCTGCCCCCGGGCCCAGTTGCCAGTCCCGAGAATGAATGTTGCCTTTGTGCCCTCAGCTGCCTCCGAGGGCTTCCAAGCAACCACATCTTCCCCGGTGGCACTGCCAGCGCTCGCTCGGGGCTGGGGCGAGGGTGTTGAAACTTCCCCGGGCCCCTCGGCCAGCGGAAGGAGGGAGGAAGGGGCGTCCAAGAGGCGCAGGGGGCAGGTGCGGCGGCTCCCGCTTCCTCCGCCACTCGCCGCAGCCCCCTCGCTTCCCATCCCTCGGCTCCTCGCTGCCGCCGACGGGCGAGGGCCCCGAGTGGGGCCAAGCCGAGTGAGGACTCACCTTGTCCAGGGCCTCCTTCTGCTTTGGGCTCAGGTCGCCGACTCTGCCGCTCATCGTGGCTCCGGCTCCGACGCGGCGGTTGCGGCAGCTGATGGAGGTTCGCCGCCGCCGGAGCCAAGTCCCAGCCTTTTGCCTGGGCCGCGGGGCCAGCCGCCAAGCCCCGCCTCTTAAAGGATCTGCGGGCGGGGCGGGGGGGAGAGGCGCCCCACCGCGCTCTTGAAGCCTGAACCCGGGCTGGAGGCCGAGGCCCGAGGGCAGCAGAAGGTGGCCTGATGGCGAGAGCAGGGAGTCTGGGTTCTAGTCCCGAATTTACTACCCTCAACGGTCTGTGTGGTTCTAGGTGAGACACCTGAGCTCTCTGGGCCTCAGTTTCTCCATCTGAACAATGAGATTGGACTAGATGCTAATGAGCTCTTCCAAGATCAGTTCCCGAAAGGGTAGACCCCCCCCCACCTCCAAGGCGGTTGGGAGATTGCCGGTAGGTACCCTGCCCCCCGGGAACTGTGACGTTGGCTTTCCCTTTCTAGGATTCTTGCTGTCCTTCTGTCCTGCCATACGTTTATCACCACTGCTGTGGGTCACAGCAACCCCGCGGGGTGCCGTCTGTGTTGAGAACCTTTCCCCCCAACCTGTGGGCAGGCAGGGTGGAGAGCAGGACACCAGGCTGAAGAGGCAGACAAGAGCAGACTCCTGTTTCTTCACCCAGGGGCTGGTCCTCTAGCTCCTCCTCAAGGGAGCACACCCTCGGCTGGCTGGAGGAATGGTTCCTCTCCTTGGGAATCAGGAGACTTGGGTTTAAATCCCAAATCCTCCACTTCTTCCTATGAGGCTTCAGCCTGCAACTGGACCTCTCTGAACCCCAGCTACCTCATCTGCTACGCAGGGGTGATCACCCAGGCTTCATCAAATCAGCATGGGGAGAAAGCACGCTAATGTACATACTCACTTAGTGCTGTGTCCAGCACAGGGTGAGCCTCAAGTAAGCACTTTCCAGTCTACCCGCAGCTTCCCTGAATTGCTACAGTGAAAGTGATGACACCTGCTATCAGCTCATCTGCTTCCCCGGCTTAGGCCAGGCCAGAGCTATAGGCTCCTGTGCAGCTGCAAGTCTGACCTGTGGGGTGTACGCTTCTGGCAGCTGCAGGCCAGCAGCCTCTCGCTGGCCTGTGCAGTCTGCCTGTCTCCCTGTGCCCCAGGCCCAGCCCCTGCTTTATACAATGAAGCCCTTTCCTCCTTTCACGGCTCAGCAGCCTTCCCCCTCTGCCTGAATCCCCGTGTGCCCCATCACTTCACTCCTACCTCGATGGTAGGTAGCATCAGTCACGCGGTGCCTTGGGCATTCTTTCCTCTTACTCTGTGCCAGGCCCGAGGCACTGTTCTGGGGACCCAGAAATGAATCAGATACCAGCCTGTCCTCCCAAAGATGAGACACAAGTACCATCGACTAAAATACCAGAGCAAGGTAAATGTCCCAAGGAGAGGCGAATTGTAGAAGGCTTCATGGAGGGAGTAGCATTTGAGCTGGGCCTTAGAATATAGAAGAGTGGGATAGAAGGGAGACTTGCTCATTCCATGCCACTGGAATGGCATAAGCAAAGGCTTGGTATTTGGTATGTGTGGCCACAGACAGAGAGATGGGGAGAAGGGAGTAGGCAGGGAGGATCCAGAGAGCCTTGGTGTTGCCCTTCTTAGTAGCATCTGCCCTTCTAGACCATGAGGTCCTTAGGCACAAGGATTTGTCTTACCTCTGAATCCCCACAAGCCCCCTGCTCCCAGCACAGCATCCTGTACCTAGGGACTGACTTTTCAATAAGTGTGTGTTCAATGAATGAATGCAAGAAATGCTCCAATAGAGGCACAGAGCCAGGTGCAGGGGAGCCCTGGGAGGGAGAGGTAAACATAGGTCATTCAGAGATCGCACAGCTCACTCACTTCAGTTAAGAGAAACTGAGGCCCAAAGAGGGCATGGCCTGCCCTAAGTTGTTAGTGGCATGACAGATGTGAAGAACCTTGCCCAATGTCTGGCATGTGGAGGGTATTTGGTCGTGCCCTCCCCTCACTGCTAGGAATTAATGCCTGTGGGCCTACCACCTCACAGAGCCATGCAGGCTACCTCAACACTCAGGTCTCCAGGCCAGTGGAAAGCAAACACCTCCAGCCTCTCTCCTTACTCAGAGATGGTAGGGAGCAGAGATAGACTACAGCAAGCCCAGTCAAAATGCTTGGGAGGGCTTTGCTTTGCTCCTGGTGTGGGCCCCACCATAGGGGTCTGCTGTAGGGTGCAGAGTGGGGTCACAGGTCACAGGCCTGTGGCTAGGAGGCCCCCAGCCCCCACTTCTGAAAAGAGCTCTCAGTCCCAGCAGTCCTGCGCCAAAGAACCAACCATTGGCTTCTGGCTTGGGGCAGGGCATGTGTAAGAACAGCGTGAGAGCAGTGTCTGACTTCCTCCAACTTCACAGGGGGAAAAGAGAAGATCAACAGCCCATGGCTGATTCCTATGAGGTGGAGGAAATGCCTCCTCTTTCTGCCATCTCTACCAATTCTGACACCAACCGTGCCTCCCACAGCACTCTCTACTGGGTTCGATAATTCATTGCAATGACCACACAGAACTCACAGACAATGCTCACAATTTTGGGGTTTATTAGGGAAGTAACAGTTACAATTTAGGCTCAAGAACACTCAGGATACAGTTCTTCCAGCAGGATAGCCTCTCCCCAGCTGTATTCGCAGGCACACCTCTCCCTGGCCCTCAGTCTCTGCCCAAAGGCACTCAGCTTTCTCCGTGGACCGGGAAGCCCACTGAGCCATCTCCTGCTGCCAGGTCTCTGCTCCTGGGTCTCTGCTGCTGGTCTCTCCTTCGTGATGGTGGGCTCCTCCTCTCTGCTCTGGAATTGGCTCTCTTTTAAGGCAAAACTGACCAATCCCCTTGGATTACCCTATCACAGTG